CAGCTCACGGGGAAATCTGCCACAATCACAAACCCTGCAAGCATCCTATCGTCGGGGATGAACGCTTTTCCTGCTGATGTAACACAACATTCGATCGCAGCACCCGGATCAGAGCCAGCGCCATGTGTGACTGATGAATGATAATGAAGGCCTGAGGACAGACGTCCAGTCTGATAGATCTGCTCTGAAAACTGCACTCGACCTTAGACAGAACAAACTATTAAACTGTCTGTAATTCTGTACCTCATTCACATGTATTCCTTTATCCAAAGAGACTTACAAATGACAATAAAGCACTTAAGCTATTAAACCTACTGTATGTCTGTCCTCACAGCACTGTTTTAAAAAGCATCCCATTAAATATGATGTCTACTCTGCACAGCAGTTCTACAGATGCACAGTTTTATGGCTAATATATGTATTGCACCAACTCAAACTGCACATTTTAACTCTTTTTTTTCGGCCAGATTTCAAAAGTACCAAAAAAGCTCCAGCAGATTAACAAGTACAGCCTTAGCAGCACAACTGTCGTGGGTTTCTCCTCATAGAGCCCGTTTTACTGTGACTGTGCTGTTAGTGCAGCATCAGCAGCTCTAAACACAGAGAGCCTCAGACATCAGTGACACACAAACACTGTGACCCGGTTAACTAGTCAAGGATGGGATCCAAAGATGAAAGATGCTGTATCTATTCGATTTAAACGGAACAATATTTTTTCTCAAGAATTAGAAGACTTTATGACTGTTCTTTTAGGTCATGAATTTGCCATATCTTGTGATGTCAGAAGACACAGAATGAACCTAACAGAAAACAATGTGAGAATGATCATTTGATCTGAGTGTGATCAGATGAAGAATAAACCAGGTCATCACGTCTGTGAACATCCAGCTTCACACCTAATCGATTAAGATGAAAACTGAATTAAGATGAAAACTGTAAAGAGAATAGCTTCTCATCCAAAGACGTGCTTGAATGTTATTAAAGGATAATGTTTGTTAAATCAGCATCAGAGTCAAACTGAATGTGCCTTTTACATTATATACCTGCGCAACATTATCCTCTAAACTGAACATGAATGAAATGCAGGTCCTTATAACTGACACAGACATGTGTAAACTCCCATCTGGCTTACCTTCTTCTCTCTCTTCCAGAGTCTCAGACAGCAGAAGCCCCAGTAAAACACATCGCCGACCATGACCACCAGCTACAGTGTGCAGATCATTCTAGCGAATGCGGCACGAAAACAAAACACAGCCACACACCCAGCACTGAGCTCATCTCAGAAAGCTCTGTGTCACTCCCTCTCTCTCTCTCTCTCTCTCTCTCTCTCTGAGCGGGTGACTTCATCAGTTCCTGCCGAGCACGCGCACACACACACACACACACACTCCTCCCCCACTCGACCCAACCTCTCTCAGAGGAGCTTCAGCTGTGTTACTACAGTCGCAGCAAAGCTCAAGTCATCTGAAGTGCCTTCATCAAAGCTCTTGAGTATTTCTCTTTCTGGCAAAGCAGGCCGGCAAGACCCTGAATTATCAGCCAATCAGACCGAAACTGCCATTCTCAGTCAGCTCCCAGCACATGCAGTGTACTTCAGGAGACTAGGCTGCTACAGACCAGAACATGAGGAGGAACCGGTCAGGTAACAGACAGAAACAATGCATTTCTCACAAACAGACCCTCATCCTGTAGAATTTTACAGCAACACTAATGTTCCCAGAAATCAAGATATTCCCGTCAGTGGCTCTGTGATAAGACGTGAAGCTAGTGAGGAATGAGGAAACGCACTACTCCAAACAGAACAACACACACATTCAACACTTGAGTTTCACTACAAATGACTGAAATCAGTCACGGCAGTCAAACTAGCAGGAGGGTCCAGATCAGCTGTAGGTAAACAAAGGCAGATCCGGACAGATTTGTTTATGAACCTTTATCACCATGAGTAAGCAAGAGAAACTGATAATACTGAGCAAAAGCTGATGGGATCGTGTCTCTGGATGGCTCTGAATGAGGAGGGATTTCCACAGAATGAGCTCGAGTGAAGATCCGCTCATGTGGGATGTGTAGGGAGTGAGGGTGATTTCATTACAGTAACTCCTCACAGAGAAAGAGTCTGTCTGGTGAAGCAGGCTAGCTTTTAACCCACATGGAACCTCGCAAGTGAATGATTTGAAACGCTCTTCATGGGCCGAATCTCCATTAACGGTCACCACACAAACAAATGCTCTGCCTGACGTTAGCATGTTGCTAGCAATTCAATAGTTTTGCAGGCACAAAAACACATAACAAACAAGAGTTGGTCAGTTTGTAATTCGATTAACATTTCCTATCAACACATTTCAGAATTTAATTGAATATATTTATAAATCAACATTTAAGGAAACTCTGCCAACCCTGACCTAGTTGCAATGCATTCTGGGATTGCCTTAGAATCTTATAGAGCTTTATCTATACAGAGCCTGGTTTCTCCCAAGGTTTTTCCTCCATTTCTGTCAGCGATGGAGTTCTGGTTCCTCTGGCTTGACGCTTGACTGATAGCACAGACACTAGAAGAGAGCTGAACTGGATGATGAATCACTGAATCATCAATGAACTGACTTTAGCTGGGAAATGACTCTGTTATTATCATTGACAAACTAGCCTATTTTGCTGTTTGACTCTGTAAAGCTGCTTTGACACAGTCAGTATTGTATAAAGCGCTATACAAATAAAGGAGACAACTTGAATGTTGAATGTGATGACACATTTAGTGTGCTGCAATTCAGTGCTGATCATTCTGCTAATGCAACATTTTAAAACTTTTCAATGTAACATTATTTCTGTTCCTATCAAATGAAACATGCCGTATACTAAGGTCTGTATTTTTATTGTTTATTGTTCAAGCGTAACTTCTCAAATTCTAAACTGCTAACAAGTCAAGTTTGCAGCTTGATGCTCTCTTTCTAGGTCCCTGCAGCAGAATCTTCCTCTTCCTCTTCCTCTTCCTCTTCACAGGAGCTGACGCACTGTCTACAGACCTGACCTTCATCTGCAGATGGGTCCTCAGAGGCTGCAGCAGATGTGTGTCTGTCAATCAAATGCAGGAAGTGCATGCTGAGCCATCTTTAATTCACTTATGCCGAGCTCGGGGAGTTTGATTATTGAACTGCACTGCCAGAGGCGGTCTGTGTGCCACTAAATCACTCAGTGGGTGAGCGATGCAGACGCAGCCAGCACTGCGGCCACAGCAGGCCAGATGCTTTATACATAAAAACACAGACCACAGACTCGGCCATCTGCTTTATAGTTCCATTAGGAGCACATTCACAGCGAGAAACTCTTTGAGCAAAACCAAAAGGGGTCAAACTTTGAACAGCCGAACGCAGGCTATAAATCCAGCAGAGAGTCAGTGTTGATGAGAGATCACTGACATACTGACAGACAGACCGCAGAGTGGCTCAGACATTGATGTAATCCGTTGTAATAAGTAAATGAATGTGAAGAGTTCTGCTGTCACAACCTTACTACTCAGGTGGGTTGTAACGGTTCTAAGATGTTTTGCATTAATTAAGGCCCTGTTTACACTAGTGCATTTTCGTTTGAAAATGAAAACGATACTCGTCTACACTCTCGTTTTCACTGTTTCAGAAACGTTCTCCGTCCACACAACCAAACACAGGTCACATGACCATTCATGCAGGTACCACAATGAGCATGATGTTACTCTGTTCACACGGTCGTCAAGCATACGCAGAGAGAATGTGCATCGTTTTCAAAAGAATCCGTTTTGGTCCGTTTACACTGAAACGCACCCCGTCTGCTGCGTTATCAAAAGTCTCCGTTTTCGAGAGTCAAAAACCCCAGGGTAGTGTAAACGACAGGCGTAACCGTAGCAAAAGTTATGCGTTTTAAAACGAAAATGCACAAGTGTAAATGTAGCCTAATTGTGGTAATCAAATGTCCTTGTTCAAAATAATCATATCACCCTCCATCACACTCCTCACCCACCTCCAGTTCATTAAACTTCATTTGAAATCAAAATGGTAAACATGAAAACTCTGAATTTAAAACCTGGGAACAAAGAAGAAAAACGCAAGCAACTGTCTCATTTTGTGTAACTTGTCAGGCTCTGTAATAACCACTTGCGCTCTATTTCAACAAAAAGATAGAACTGAAGGAACTAAAACTAGGTAAAGGTTCAATCTGTATGAATGGTTTTCTTGAGAACAAATTATATGAATCTGTCGCCCCTCGCCCTCGGGAGGAAACGCTGGTCATGTTATTATTTCATATATGCAGAAAATATGGTAACATTCATCCACATATGCAGTTTCTTTTTAAAATCCAAAACAACAGAGAAGGGTTTGAATTCATACAAAATTGCATACCATTAAAGGAATGTTGTGCTGCAAAAATAGAAAGTAAAAAATACAGATATGCTCACTAACCAGCAAACTCAAAAGGTTTTAACAAGGTTTGGTGCAACAAGTGTTTATTATTATTATTATTATTAAAATAAAATAAAATAAAATCCCTACCTGGCATGTTTTCTTCAACCTCAAAACATCAATATAATTTAACAAATTTTGAGTAGGGGAACCAAACTGCAACATCTGTGGAACGTTTTGATCATGTTTTAAAATAGTATGACTTGTGCATGTAAAAGAGAGTTTTAAAACTTAATGAAAACGCAAATGTAAATGTAAATGATTCTTGTCAAATAAACAGCTCTCGCTCTTGTAGAAACACTAAATAAACCAGCCAGCAGTGAATGCATTAAAACAAGAGGCCACACAAGCGCTCCCTTCATGAGCTCTGCATCTGAATTATAGATAGCAGCTCTTTCATGAACGCACACAGGAGTGCGGTTGATTTGCTCACGAGTGATACGCAGCAGTGACTGTGTGAATGGAGAATCGCTGGGGAGCCGTGTAACTGGAGCGGCTGTGAGAAACCGTAGGACGGACAGCAGGATGAGGAGAGACGCAGAGATTGGGTTTGGGACGGTTTGGACTCACCATGATGAGTCCGGTGGTGATGGGCTCTGAACAGCCATGACACAGCTCTCCAAATTTAGCCCAGTAGTCCTTCTTACAGAAGAGACGGCCGTCCTTCTCATAGTACCAGTGTGAGAGAGACGCGCCGCACTCACAGCACCTGCAGATCAAACACAAGGGCACAGCTCAGCATTCGGATCAAATTCATGCACCAATAACATTCTGTCATATGTCATGTATTTTCCCTGACCACTGGAACTTCCTCTCTGCTTGTTTCACTATACTTCTTTGAAAGCCTTTTTATGTTGGTCAAACTTGGGTCATAACATATATATATATATATATATATACACTTGATGTTGTACGCCTGCTCTTGTATGTTGGCAGCGGAGCAGTTTGACGAGTACGAATGCTAGTAAGCAACATATCAGACCATGTAGGCCTGAGATTGGCCAAAAAATCCCAACTGAAATGACTGTCATCCTTTGAAATTCTGAGGTTTGTTTGGCAACAGCCTCATTTAACTAGAATTAGGTAATATGGTATGAGAGGTTGTGTTTCGATGTGAATACAGTCATGATACGCAACAGATTCACAATACAGCACAGCTTCAAGAGCCTTAGAGCTTTTAGAAAACGGTTACTGCAGTTCGTAAATATCAAGGACACCAATCATCATGAAGACATTAAACGAACCAAATCGATTGGTCTCGTTCTTCCAATAGAGGGTCTAGTGGTGTGATTGAAATGTACATTGTCATACTGTTACTGATGGATCGACAACTATGTTTAGCACTCTAACAATGAATAAGACCAGCAAAGAACATGCTGATACTGCTATAACTCTGTAACATGTTTGAGATGAGCTGACAGGAGACAGAGCCAATGCATTGAGAAACTGAAACACACGAGCATCAACATGACGTCAGATCATCCATCGTGTGTGTGTGTGTGTGTGTCATAACAGCAGCCAGACGTTGATACCTCACTGTCCTCTGTGTGTGAAGAGAGCCTGAGGGAGTCCAGCTCATTAATGACCATCTGCCGCTCAATGACCTCTGAACCTTAATCACAACCTCTGAACGGAGGCCAAACACCTCCTGACCGAAGCCTCCATCTCACGCCTGCTCATATGGATTTGCCTCATTATTACAAAAATGGTGAGTGAGCTGTTAATCAGTACAACTACTAGTCCTAGTAGAGAGTATCCATCATGTGTATCATGCCATCACATCACAGTGAAGAAGAGGCTTTACCCTCTCACATACACGCCACAGGACCTATCTGAGAACACTATGAGCTCAAGCAAGGCAAAAGAGAAACGTTAGATCTCACCACTGAACTTTGACACATTACAGAAGTGTGTAGATGTTTACAATAAAATAGCATCTATGCACTTGCGGGTGTTGTAGCCAAAGAGAATGAAGTGTGGAGTATTTGCTGTAGTTCCTCTGACCCTACAGACAGACGAATCTCTCCCTGTTCTAGCTTGCACTGCTCTGAATGATGCTGAGGAGTCCTCATTCCTCAAGACACTTTGGATAAAAGCCTCTGCTAAATGAATACGTGTAAAAGCATATCTATTCAAGCTCATGTTTTGCCTTGTTACCCCCGTCAATAATGAACTACTGTAAACTGAACTTGAAGCTCACTGTATTCATGTGAGACGAGGAAACGCATTTGTCCTGATAACAATGGCTCTATAGACCGGTGAGTAACCCAGTTAAAGGCTTTAGTAAACTAATTCCTGTTCACTGGGCGACAGCTAATGTATGTGGCCTCACAGAATGCAAATAAAGTGGATTATTTTAGAAGAAGGAAGAACTGCAGCGTTCCTATTGTACTGAACTGGGAAAGCCAAAGAATGCTGATGTGTGCCGTAATTCACCTGTCATTAGGGAGAGAAGCAGCATGCTTCAGCGGCTTCATCATTCTTTATAATAGCAGATGCAGTGCTGATAATAACAGCAGCAAGAGTTTGACAAACCACCACCGCAGAACACGGTTTCTCCTCACAGGCTACAGATATAGAAAGTGTCACAGCAGTCAAACCCCAGACACCAGCTTCAGAAAGAGTGCTGTTTGTCCACAATGCTGAAGCGCTGCTGTGTGCTTGTTCAATGCAAGCCAAGGCCCGAATCTGCTGTGTGATAGCTTAGAAAAGGAAAGTAAAATAAAATAAAGTCAATGTGAGGAATCATTCATGGGTGGTAGTTTAATGCTTTGTGTTCGGGTTTGGTCGAATCACTAAGCAATAGTAAAAAAGTCATGCTTCCCTCAGCAAACGCACATAAAGCACTGGCCTGAATGAGAGTGAAGTGTTTGTCAGTGACGGCCTCTCCATTAGACCGATGAGAACAGGAAAGCGTTTGGCGGCAGATGCGGGGGATGCTGGGTAATTCATGCCGTGATCCCCAGGGCTCTCTTATCAGCTGCTAATGATGAAAGCGGAGACAGACCGGATGCTGTGAATCGCTCTTCGATCTGTCTGACTTCACCGTCTCAGATCTCTCCATCAGAGCTGGCGTGAGGAGGTCATCCTCTCTATCGCTTCATCACAGCACATCTCCTACATGAGATGAGCACTTCATTCAGCGCCCGTATACTGATCCGGGGTCAGAACACCAGAACACATGACTTCAGCTTGCTGTTTGGACGTGCTCCCATCCCAGAGGATTTCTTTCGCAGCTCATGAGATCTAACAGCATCTCAGTTCAGTTTCCTTTATCAGCTATCCGTTTGTCTCAGATCTTTTTTTCAGAAATGAAAATATTTACAGCACAATAACTGACAGCCAGTAAGAGTAGAGTTATAAAATCAACGTCAATAGCAGCTCGGATCATTTGGTCTTGAAACATTTGAGTTCAAACATTTGCGTTTTTGACTTTGTAAATCTTGGCCTATCTGAGAACAGTTTGAGACGCTGTTGAAATCTCCTCTGAAACAGGAGACAGACGTGAGATTACTGGGCTCTTTTCCTCAGGAGAAACATCTGAGAAGCGAGAAACACAGTCAGGATCGTATATTGTTTAGACAAGCAAGCAAGGTTTCTAAACCTTTCCTGTCAGTACGCTTCAAAGGCAGATAGATTTGAGTGCCACACTCCATGCCTCCTAAGACTCGAGCCTAGAGGTAACAAGTATAGTGAAAACAGAGTTGGGCCAAAGATGGAACCTTGGGGAACGCCACATGTAAGAGGAGCTACAGTTGAGACACGAAATATATTCTATACTAATTTCTACAGATTAGTTATTGGACATATAAACACAAATAATCAGTAATGGTTATAAATAAAATAAATATTGATTGATTTCTACACATAATCCTTTCGTTAGGATCAGGAATATGAACATGGTTAATAAAATGTGTTTCATTCCTCGGGTCTCCTTGATTTACCATAGCAAGCAAAGTTTACAGTCATTGTTACTAAAGTAAAAGCATAAATAAAAGTAAAAGCATAAATAATACAGTGGTGAGTAATGTCCCTTCCCCGCAGGTTTACTCTAGCCACAATGACTGCAGCTCCTACAGTGTTTTGGTGTAACTATGGTAATGTTGAGTAAGGTATGCAGTAAAGAGTGAAAGGCTAAGATAAGGCGAGCAGCGCTCCAGATAAACAGACGTTTCCTCATTCCTTCACACTCAAACACCGTGTCAGTTTATAGCTGTACTCGAGCTTCACAGCTCTGTGAGGGGTTCAGTGTTACTCCATCAACACACACTTCTGACGATCCCTCAAAAGCATCCACCGGCCTGTCCTGATGAGTGTCCGACATCAGCCGGGTCCTCCGTGAGAGCAGCAGGTTCCGTAACAGCAGGAAAAGACCGACTGTGTTGAGTATCAGTTTCACTTTGATTCACCAGTAACCACAAACACAGAGCCGTCCCACCAGGGAAAGTTCTCTATTCGTCATGAAAGCTCATCAGACTCAGGGGAGCTGGGAAAAAAACACCCATTTACAGTAAGTGCTCCACAAAACAACCAGATTTTGACATTCTCTGAAGACCAACTGAGTGACGTTTGCTAGAGGATTGTGGGTGATCAGCGGCACTGCCACTTTTGTGTTTGTGTTGTTATGTTGTATTATTTGGCTATGTGAAAACGCATGTTGAAACCCACTGAGACAGAATTTCCCCAAAGGTACTATTACTAGCAATACTACAAATGACATCTTCAGAAAATGTTCATTTGTGTGAGAGTGAAAGAGTGACTCAATACTGCTGGTCTACAAAACAAACCCAGTCATATCTGACATACCTAAAAACACCGCTAAAACGCATTAGTGCAAAACAACACATTATTGGACACGTTTACAGCATGTGAAGCTCAGATTCAGCAGACATTAACTTCAATCACACAAGCCCTATAAAAACACGGATTTTTAACAATAAAAACATGAAACCAAGTAATTCTGTGTCATTCTTACATGTTCAGGGTGTCATACACAGAAAAAAAAAAAGAATTTAAAAGTTTAAAACAAGTGCAACCTAGTGAAAGAGAAAAGGTGCTTCATCTCAAATTATTTTTTAATTTTTTTAATTTGATTGGTATAAACCAGCTGCTCAGATTCCTCTCATCAAACGAATGATAAACCAGATATCATAAAGCTTCACTGTAAGAACAGCATGTTTTGTGATTTGCCTGCTGTTTTCTCAGGTTGTGTGCTTTAACAGCATTAGACGTGCTTTGCATTTTGGGGGTGTCTTGTGGGAACGGTTTTGCATGCCAGCGCTTTCTTTGTGCTTACTAAGCCCTTCCCAGAATGCATTGCTCCGGTTCTCATTTTGTCAGTCTGGAGGAATAATGAACTGCCCTCCCAGTCCAGCCAAGATCTGGATCTGATCCCACAGAAGACAAATGAACCGCCGCACAACACAGACCTTTATTTAGAGATTCGGCGTGTTTCTGTATACATCTACACAGCAGCATCTAGTGTGCAGAGATGAGACTCAGTGAACACCGTTTCAGGAGTGCTCTGGTTTCGTCACGTCACTCCTCTTGGTTCCAGTGTAGACGTGATGTAATACAGTTTAGACAGACGGCTTGATGATCACTGGCTTTCAGTAGACATGCTGTAAATTACATGATGTAATGATTAAAGCAGCACATTAATACACAAACCAGCCACCATCAAGACATGCAAACGCGGTCATCACTGAT